TACTTTGGGAGCTATATCTAAATCTCAACCATAAAACAAAACATTCTAAACTAAATTCCATACATGCTGCTAAATTTAATTTATGTAGAACAAACGTAAGCTCTTCAAAATTGCGTCTCAATCGCATAAAACAATGCAAGTTTGACGAAAATATATATGGGAGCAATATCTAAATCTCAACCGATTTCCAAAAAATTAACGGGCGTAATTTCAGTAAGCTGTGCAAAATTTAGTCTCAAATCGGACACAAAAATATATAGCAGCTGTATCTAAATCTGAACCGATTTTATCCAATTTCAATAGGGTTCATCCTTGCACAATATCAGTGATATGTGCAAAATTTCATTCCATTCCGATCATAAACGCGACCTGTACTTTATTGACATTTTAACATAGACAGACAGACGAACGGACATGCATAAAAAATAATTCTATGCATATTCTCAAAAGGAAACATGTATCTATCTCGTTTCCTTTTGCCTGTTACAAACATAATGGAGTTGGATTAGTAGTTTTTGCCAAATTTGTAATTGGTGCATGCGGTAGGTGAGAATTACCTTTATTTCTTTAGTAAGAGTTTCTAAAAACTACTGACTATCTAAAATTCTTCTGAGGTATAATATCGACAATATGTCCCTAAAGTTAGTATATTTTTTCCTACCTTGAACCCGAAAATTTGTATTATATGAGAATTTCCATTGGGTCATTAGTACTCAAATTTAATTTTTTTCATAATATTTTTGAGATGTCTGTGGTTTGTTAATACAGATTTGCATTATATGGACCAGTGACATCTTAAATTGACTGTATCTATAATTTATTGAATAAAAATTTTCCTACTCCAAATTATAACACAGTCTCTGATCTTATATTTAAGAAAAAATAGTACGAATCCGAATCATTGATGTGTACCTAATACCTATTGGGATTATTCCATTTAACATTAATATATACCTAAATATAACTGTCATACGTTTCATGCAATACAAATTATATATTATTTCTGGTACCTTGATCCTATATATATTTAAGATTACTTATTTATAACTATGACGTCCATAAACATCCGTAGTAAAATTGCATGGTCTTTTCATAGCAACATTATTTTGTTGGTGTTTGGTTTTTTTCCTTGCATTCCTATAATTTACCATTTCATATCGAACTTTTTATCACAACTGATATGAAATATTTTTTTTTTCTTTTTTTAACTTTTGAATATCTTATATATACATCGTTCATTGTTTGTTTTGGAAGAATTTTCTTTTTGAGCAAACAAAGTATTAGAAAAATAAATACTCATATGTATGTACGTTCGACGTCAGACCTAATTGACTGTTAATTAGATGTTAAAATATGATAAATAACAAGTTTTATTAGATTATTTTGTTAGAGTACAAAGTTACAGTTTGCGTATATACGTTGACAATTTTTTGTACACAGAATAATTACCAGAAAAAGAAACATTTTTGCACGGGTAAGAAGAAGATAGTGAAAAAGCATGTTTTTATGAAGATCGGTCACTATATAACAGTTTCAAATAGACAAACATATGAAAAAAATATAAAATTTGAATTCACGCCTGCAAAATATTATCCGAAGAACTTGTTAGTGTTTGAAAGCGGAATGATTGCAATTTAAGCTGATATCAGTTATATGTATGAGCATGAGCATCTTACTATGCGCGGGTTTAACTCCTCAGAAATTAAAATCTCAATGGTAGTTGTGTATGATGGCATTTGTCGGGCCACTCCGACTATACTGCTCATACTACTAACCACTAAAGGTTCGTCTCCATGTTAAAATATAAAAATAAAAAAAAAATTTCCGTATCAATCTCTCTAACTCCACTAAAATCGGGGTTTTTTTAATTATTTATTTTAAAAGCTTCGTAAGACATTAATGAACATCTTTTAACATTTCCATTAACTAATGCATTTATTCTATTATTCATCGAAGTTAATACGGTTTTGTACTCATTTGCTGTGCATATTAATAGCAGTTCAGCGCTATTTTTATACCCTTCACCACACTGTGGTACAGGGTATTATGTCTTTGTGCATATGTTAGTAACATGAAAAAGGAAACGAGATAGACACATGGTTCATTTTGAGAATATGCATAGAATCACTTTATAAGTCGATTTATGCATGTCCATCCGTCTCTTCGTCCGTCTGTCTGTCCATGTTAAATTTTAAACAAAGTACAGGTCGCATTTATGATCCGAATTGGATGAAATTTGGCATAGGTCACTTTTTTTCAGATTTAGATATAGCTCCTATATATATTTTCGTCCGATTTAAGGTGAATGGTGTACCAAAGTCCCTTTATATCTTTCGATTTGCACGAAATTTGGCACAGCGTACTGAATTAGGTCTAGAATTATATGTGTTAAGTTTCCTGAAAATCGGTCCAGATTTAGATATAGTCCCCATACATACAGTGGTGGTCACAGAATTAAAACATTTACTGTGGTAAACATTTTTTAATCAGCCCTCGATTCGTTTGAAGTATTCTTGAACATTTTTTAATTCAGAACACTTCGATATATATAGCACTTAAGAGATTTAGTGTGAAAATAGAAAATTATTGCTTGCAATTTTTCCATAAAAACGGTTTTTATGACAATACATCGCCATATAATTAAAACATTGTTTGGGATTTTTTACTTTACAGCATTTTTTGAAAATATTTTTAGAAAAGCTCTTTAATTTAGTTAAATTATGTAAAATAAGAACTGATAAAATCATTTACAGATACACACTTTTGAAAAAATCTGTAAAATCTATCAAAATTGCCAAAAATTTGTACAGTACACCTTACATTCAAATAATCACCCTTATTATAGAAAATAAAGGTCCGAATGCACCAGAAATTGCTAGAATTAGTAGAAAACAATAAATAATTCCCAAAATAAATAAATATTTTAAATAAGAACTCAAAAAATGGGAATTAACCTAAAGGAACGATTCATTTTCAATAGCCTTTACTGAAGAAGGTCGGAATATTTTTGCAGTATGTGAGAAAAAATCGATTGATATTGGTATTTATTATATCAAATCGACCGTTCGAGTATTGTATGTTGTATGTACCCAATCATATAGTCGGCCCCGTCCAACTTTGCTACTTTCCTTACTGGTTTTTGTCTGTTTTTTTTTTTTTTTGTCGCTTTAGAGGGACACAAATATGACCCGAACACCACGAAATTTTACACCCGGAAGCGAATCAGGATGGCGGTTTTGATGAAGATCGGTCAATATTTAGCGGATCAAAATGGACCCAGACTTTTGTGTAAAAATTACAAAAATTTGTATTTTTGGGCGTATTTATTTACTCGTGAAGGACATAGAACCGTGATTTTGATAGTATATCCAAGAGGTGTGGTTTATCTTTAAATTGATACCAATTATATTGTTGTATGTACTCGCATGTGAGAGTATAAATATTTATAGGGGTCTACGTATTTTCATATTGTTTAGTCTTTCTATCGCCCTACTAGAGGGCTGAACGGTCGCACTGATCACTTTGACATTTTACATGAAGTTCCGTTTATGGTCACGGACGAAACTTATAAATGTTGGTTATGTTGAGATGATATTTCATTGAACCGAAAACTTTATTTTTGTCAGATTTTCTAGTCGGTATTATTTCTAGAGGGTATTGTTATATGCAGATCCCCACATATTTTACAAGTGAGGGAATCTGACCAAATTCTTTGAACATCAAAATATTAAAATTTCAAAAGAGCATCTTGATTAAACTTTAACATTTTCATCAGACCAATTTTAGTGTGCTCAATTTACATCCACTTCACTTGTAAAATGCGATAAACATATAGGTGCATATTTTAAAATAGTTTTATGGCCCATAGTTTTTGTGGCCCATACGGTTTGTAACCTTACGAAATATTGATCGTAGACTCAACTTCTAATATACCGATTGTCATATGGATTTCGGTTCATATAAAAATATAGATCACATGTTAAATTTCTTTGGACCACAGACTGTCACGTTTGTCAGGTTGACACGAAATTTTTCACAACGTACAAAATTGAGCCGTTTATAGAAATGCCATACATAGTTTCGACCCACTTCATATTAATTGGGCTTCAAATAATCAACGGGTGTCCGATTGAGATTTGCTTTAAATCGATTTACATGTCATTGTCAATTTGAAGAAAAAGGAATCTTAAGTACTGTCAGAGATGAGCCTTAAACCTCGGAATTAAGACAAAAATTTAACCTTGAAGTTTATCCATGTACAATCAGTAGACCTATTCTGTAACAATAGTTGTCATACCCTACACAAATATGTTGTCAGGGTATTATAGCATTGTGCAGCCCCAAGAGTTTGTAACGCCGCGAAATATTGTTGTAGATTCCAATAAGATCCTTGTAGCATTGTATATACCTAAATGTCTGTAATTTGGCATTTAGTTTTATATCAAACTTTTATCCAAAGCAATTACTCATCGACGTCTTTTAACTTTTGGAAAATATATTTTGTATTTTGGAGATTTTATTAACATTTCCAGTAATGCTGCATATTTTGCATATAACAAAACCTCCCCCATGTTACCCACATAAAAAAAAAACTGTGTAGTATTAATCACTCTATAGATAAATACTTGCATGTCACTATTGTAAACATTTTTAATGACAAAGTTTACTTTTATTTTTTATATTTATTGATTATCTGGCCACCCTAATGTTGGTATTAGTCACAATTCAGGTGGGTAGACATTTGTTTGATTTCCAATAAGAGAGAGACTATTATTTTTTATAACACATAGTTTATAAAAAAAACATCGAACGAAGTTACTGATAAGACAAACAAATAACACAAGGAACACACAAAAATAATCAATAACTATAAATGCCACATCACTAATGAGGTGGTCTAGTGGTTTATGAGCCTTTTTTGTGCTATTCAGGAAAGTTTTTTTATTCTTTGTTTTAGTATAATTTTGTGCGAAAAAAATATATAAGGGAAAATCACTCACATGATCACTTTTAAAATTTGCCATTTTTGATTTGTTGATTTATTCTTTACACAATTAGTAAAATTTTCAAAATTATTTGAACATAACTTTCAATTTAACACTTAAATCGTGTCGAGTATTTTATGCTTTACTTTCGAAATTAACGATTTTCCTTTTCTTCGGAAAAAATTGTATTCGACTTTTTAATATTTTTTGACACTTTTTTCTTTTTTTTTCGTTTAATTTTTTAATATTACGTTTATATTCTTCTTTTGTTATTATTTTCTTTAATTTGTTTTTGTGTCGGATTTTGTATAAAACTTCTTATTTATTTTTACTAACTACCCCGTTTGTTTCCTTCCTTTAATTTACTCCGTAAAGAAAACACGTTTATATTGTTTGCCGTCTTTTATGCGAATAACTCTCTCGAACGATTGAAAAATTCTTGCCAACCGAACCTCCGTCATAAAAACAAAATACAACAAAATTATAAATAATATCTACCACGGACAGCACATCACCCCACTCCCCCTCAGTGGAGTGAAGTGCCTAGTTCATTGTCAATATCATTCATTGGCTGATATCTCAAATATCATTTCTAATACAAACACACGCACACCCACACCAAAGAAGTGTCAATAGGGCTCCCATGGTATGCAGAGAGTAAATAAAGAAAAAACAATAACAAGAAAAAACCGCATGTATTCTTACTCACCTGTAGAGTCCATTACTCTCGGTACTCTACAGTACTGATAAGACTACTAACATCAGACATTTGTCGACACAATGCTCAAGAGTTCCAGATACATTTTTGTGGCTTTTGAAATGGGTTTGGAAAATTCGAACAAACGCAGTTAATATTTACAAGTACATTTTTATGTTAATAGGCTACAGATATTCGATAAAACTTTATATTTACTCCACCTTCTGGTGCATTGATTGGTATTGAAATTTGTCTGCTTGTAGGTTGCTTATGCTAGTGGCAAATTGCATCGACATGGAAAATGCGGCGTGGGGAAAATTATATTAATGCCATAAAAATATGGCCATATATTAAAACAATTAATTTTTTATTTCACCCTTACATGCAAAAATTAAGAATTGCATGTCAATCGGGCAGACGTGGATTCTTAAGAGTACCATTTGTATGAAAGTTAGCAAAATTATGTATGGGAGCTATATATAAATCAGGACCTAATCGAGCAACAATGGCATACGATATATACAGTATTTTTCGGTTAATTGACCCTACGGTTAATTGGTTTCCACGCTTAATTGAACCACATGATGGGTCAAAAATATTTCATTTCATAGTAAGCGGGTTCAGATAATTGGTTCCTCGGTTAATTGAACAAAAATTTGTGCAAATTTTGATGTGCAAATAACCGAAAAATACTGTAGTATGCTACAGCACATTGCGCTGTCCACAATTTAATCTCGGTAGGAGAAACCTTTATTATTTGGTGCACAAATTGCATGAACTCTGACGAAAGTATGTAGGGGTTATATTAACCTATGAATATATTTTACAAACTCCAATACGCGTTATTGTAGCTCCAATATTATAGATTGTGAAGAAATTCGTCCCAATCGAAAAAAACTTTAGTTATTTGGTACACCATTTAAACGAAATCAGATGGAAATATATACGGAAGATATATCTAAATCCGAACCGATTTCAACAAGATTCAATCTAATACTCTCTGCAATATGTCATGTAACACCACCAAACTTATGCTCCTCACATACGTCTATCTGGAACTGACTCAGTACTCTGCTCAATATTTTTTCTCAATCGAACAAACATTGGGAATTTGTTGGACCATTTACCTAAAATCTGGCGAACTATAAATGGGAGCTATATCCATACATGATCCGATCTCAATTCTATACGTTATGACAAAATGTGTCTTAATCGGACAAAAATTTGTAGTTCGGTGCACCAATTACAAAAAATATCCGATTTCAGTGAAACTTAACACACTCTATCCTAGTCATAATTCCATACGTTTTACCAAATTTTGGTGCACAATTTACATAAAATCGGACGAAACTAGGAGCTATATCTAAATTTGAACTGATTTTCCCCAATTTCAATAGGATACGTCCTTGGGCCAAATAAATGGGTTGTACCAAATTTCATCCAATTCGGACCATAAATGCACCTGTACTTTGCTTACAAAAATACATGGACGGACAGACAGACGGATGAACATGCATAAATCGGCTTTAAAAGTGATTCTATGCATATTATCAAAAGAAACCATGTGTCTATCTCGTTTCCTTTTGCCTGTTATAAACATATGCACAAATGGTAAAAGATAATTTAAAATGTAGTACTGAAGAATTGGGATTGGGGGCAATATTTCAATTTTATCAAGATAATGACCCCAAACTCAAGACGCAGATCGTTCGAGAATGGATGGTTTATAATTGTCTGTAATTGATTCAAACACCTCCTCATTCCTTGGATTTGTATCCTATAGAGGACTTATGAAGCATACCAAGATTGAAAATGTTTTTCGAATTTCCCAACTGAAGGGTAGTAAATTAATGCGAGACATTTTAATACCCTCCACCACAGTATGGAGGGTATATTAATTTTTTTCCCGTTTGTAACTCTTCGCAATACTAAAATACTGTGACGATTTAGCCATGTCCGTATGCACGTCTATCTTTTGTAAACACAATAGCCTCTAAACGAATTTGTATGCAGGCAGATCAAGTATCCATATAAGGGTACCCAATTTGGGGTTTTTGTTTAGAGCTCTATATTCAATATATATAAGAACTTTATGGCTGACAATAGTCCTCTGATACTAAGTTAGAGGGTAACTTCGGCATTTGATGGATGGGTTCTGCCCAATGAAGACCCCATTTTTTTTTGTTTTTTAAAAAAGATCGGTTAATATTTAGGGGATGAAATGGACCAATTACTTAATTTTTGTCGCTCCAGAGGCCGCAATTGTGGCCCAAACTTCGCGAATTTTTACACAGAGAAGGGGATCGGGCCAAAGAATAAGCATGCCTGTTTTGATAAAGATCGGTCAATATTTAGCGGGTCAAGTGGACCTTGACTTTTGTGTGAGAAACAACAAAATTTGTATTCTACAGCTTATACATTTACTCCTGAACGACATAGACCCGAGAAGTTGATAGTATATCCAAGAGGAGTGGTTGACCTTTAAATTGATACCAATTATATTTTCGTAAGTACTCGGATATGGGAGTTACACTTAAATATTTACAGGTGCTTAGGTATTGATAAATTATTTAGTAAACCACTACCGCAATAGAGGGCGAAAATATAGCGCTGATCGCTTTGAAATTTTCCATGAGGATCCAGGTATGGTCAGTGACAACGCCTTTAATTTGCGGTGATGATCAGATAATAATTTTGGGATGAAGTGGACCGAAAACTTATTTTTTGGTGTTTTTTTTCGAGTAGATCTTTAGGCCAAAATTGCCCCGTCCGACTATACTGCTCCTCTCACTGGTTTTTTGTCTATCAATCTTCAAAAAACATTATATTTTTAATTATTTTTGTTAAGAATGCACATTGTAATTAACTACTTTTTAATAATAAGAAATCATACGAATTTAAAAGTTTTATACACAAAATACTGACGAAATGGAATGGAAATATTACGAAAACATCTGTAAAAATAAAAAAAAAATCGTGCATCTAAATAAGTGCATTAGCTAGAGGTTTTAAACTTTGCGACAGTTATTTATTTTGATGTACGGTGAGAGTCGATGCTGCCCCAGTATACAAAACTCCCATGGTTTGAGATTCTATTTGGCACATCGTACTGAAGTAGACACAGATTGATGTATAGAAAGTTTTGTTGAAATCAGTACAGATTTATATATGGAGCTAAAGTCCATTGCACTAATCTGCCATATTAGAAATAACCTAATAAAGGCAATTAATTATATCGGTATTCAGCAGGTGAAGTATTTTGTAATCATAAATAGTGCACAAAAATTCCAATATTTGTCCGATTGAGACAACATGATGTATGCGAAGTTTTGTATTTACAAATAGCTTCCATAAAAAGTTTAGTTCGATTTTATATAAATGGTTCACCAAACTCCCACTGTTTTTTTCGATTGAGGCACAATTTTGCATAGCGTGTTGAATTGTGTAAACCGCCTCGGTTTACGTCCAGATTTACATATAGCTCACATATGTACCTAAAGTGGTAAAGGGTATCAACTATATGATACACTTTACTCCGTCCGACTTTTGAATTTTCCTTACTGATTTTCATATTGAGATGGTGTTTTTCACAGCGCTCTGTGATCGGTGCAGATTAATATGTATATAGGTATTTTACATTATCTCTTGTATATACCCAGAATGGTTTGGGGTGTTATATTGTCGGTACCGTCCAACAAATGTTTTACAAAAATACGTTCGTTCCAACATTTACAGGAAAGACTGTTACTATACATATCATATTACGCCGATTAATTATTTCTTTTTTTAGCAATGTGTCGATATATTCACATCATATTCTTAACGTATAATCTAGTCATTGATTTCCTCTATGTTAATAGCATTCTAAAATAATCACACTTTTGACGCTTTAATAAAGCCCTCGGACGACCTATTTATCAGATTGTTGTTTACATAATAAATAACATTGTTAAATGGTATATCTTTCAAGCCGCTGTTAAAAGCCGTTTATCAAAACTAGATCACTTGTGTGTCGCGAAGGGTGAATGTGTACACACATTCGTACGTAAGCAAACATTTGTTCTCTGTGTCAATGTTGAGTGTCGGTGTCAAAGGGAATTATAAACTAATTACTAAATAAACAAATATTTATTTTTTTTAATTTGTCTTATTTTATCAACAACATACATATCTAAAGATATGTTTATGTCACATACGTACACGTGTATGTGAAAAAAATTAAATAAAAATGTTAATAAAGCAAACATCCTATTTATGTTTCAGATTTGCCTCTGGTGCGAAATTTAAAAAGTAAACTTTCCCCTTTTTTAAATATTATATAGAAAGATGGCTATATTATAAA